GTCTAACATCAATCTGCCCATATTATTCATATAAAAACCACTAATTTAGAACATATAAGCAAACTACAAATTATCCATACAAAATTTTCAACATTAAAGATAAACATCTATGAACAACATGATTAATTGAAAGTTTCTTCATCTTTAAGAACTTGAAAATTGATTTAATAAGCGTATGGGCGGGTATCCCTAAACCCAAATCCAACCCAATCCAGTAAAAAGTAACGAGTTTAAATCCGAACCTGAACCACACCCATCAACAGGGGGATTTACCCGACGAAGTTGCTCTGAAAGGAGAGGGGGAGAATATATACGTTGACCGGGTTGGATAGGGTACCCGTGGGTTCGGGTTTTGTTGTCATCCTTGCGTTCAGGTTCAACTGATGTTGCAATATCTTGCATGTAATTTAAGATATACTTGGCAATACGTGACTGAATGAGCGTATGTCGTTTATCAAGAAATTTACATTCAACTTATGTGTCAATATCTTATATGTCGTTATCAAGAAAGTTACATTCGACTTATGCATCAATGTCGTATGCTAGAAGAGAGTGATATAAAAATCATAAGTATGCTAGAAGAGAGTGATATAAAAATCATAACTAACATTCTTTATCATTTTAAAATATAATTTACTTCAAAAATCAATAAAATTTTGGCCGATCAGTCAGAGCTAAAAGCAAGTATACAAATAAAGGCTAGCAATTGGAATATTACTACAATTCTTCCATGATCTCAGAGTTGGGTTTGATTGAGTGTTCATTGGTTGAAATCTTCACAAGCCCCAATATTAGTAGTAGATTTAAACACAAGATATATCGGATATATATAAATTTCAAATGAATAAATTGTCTTTCTTTAAAAAAAAATATAAGATTCATAATTAACAACTCAAATTATTGAGAAGAAAAGATTCAAGCACATACAATACCGCCTAGAAACTTTATCATAAGGTGAAGACCATCAGCATCTTAACAATGGTTGATATTCACTTAAATTGTAGTGGAGTTATAAGAATGTCTTTCCTGCCTGTGCTAGCCATTGGGCGGGCAGGCAAGGTAACCAAACGAATCAATAAATAAATGTGGCTGGCTGGGCAGGAGATAGGGTCAGTAACCACTTGGTTACTGACAGGTCAATAATAAATAGTGATCGTAGATTTAGGAGGCAGGCAATCTTGTGGTTGGGCCGGACGCTAAGTGAAGAAGAGTATTTTTGTCCGTTTATACATTAAATTCTTTATTTTATTTTATTTCTTATTAAATGACTGCATTTTGAAAGAAGGAAAGATAAACCATTATTTCTCTGCAACTCTCATTTATCTTTCTCTCTTCCTTTTTCTCTTCCAATCTCTTTTCCGGATCCTCTCTATTCCTTTTTTTCTCTCAATCTCCTTTTAAGATCTAAATCTGCTCCCTTCTCTTCTTCTTTTTTTTTTTTCTCCAGGACGAATAAAAATTGCAGCCACTCTCTTTCATTGCATTTCTTCTCTTCATCATCTCGTTGGCCTCAATTTCGATCTTTCCATTTTTCGGCATTTTTGTGTTCTTGATTGCGAAATAGGAAATGAGAGGCGACAGAAGACGATTTTTTTCTCTACCTCCTTCTGTTTTTTTTTTCTTTTAGATAATATATATTGATATTATAACTCTATAGCATATGGTATTCGGTGGTAACGAAATATATATTGATATTACCACACTATACCATATGGTAATGTATGGTATTGTGTGGTAACGAATTATATATTGATATTACCACACTATACCATATGGTATTATGTGGTAACGAAATATATATTGATATTACCACACTATACCACATGGTATTGGGTGGTAACGAAACATATATTGATATTACCACACTATACCATATGGTATTGGGTGGTAACGAAATATATATTGATATTACCACACTATACCACATGGTATTGGGTGGTAACGAAATATATATTGATATTACCACACTATACCATATGGTATTGGGTGGTAACTGGTACCGTAATATATATTGATGTGACAAATTTTTTCATACCATATGGTATGATCTTATTTAATACCAGTCAATACCATATGATATAGACTGGTAATAACTGGCAAATTTTTTTATGTCCAAAAAATATCAAAGTGGATATCATTTTGAAGATCACAATTAATCTGATCTAATTATGCAAAAAAATTAAATTCCGACTTAAAACGAGTGAGAAATCGTCTGTTAAAGATTAAGAGAAAGAAAATTAAATGTTTTTCGATAAGAGATGAGGCGCTGATGTGGTCTGGTCAAAAGTCAGCGTTGACAATAAATAGGGGCAGGGGCAATTTTACTTTACTGTCCTTTCGCATTTAATTTAAATAAAAAAAGAAACTGACACGTGGAGGGGTTACTGATGGGTTACTGACTCATCAGTTACTGACCTGATCAGATCCGGCTAGCTGCCCTCCTCAACTGTCACTGTAATTAGGAGCTCACATCACTCTATCTGACTCGGATATCCACACGCCCAATCCCATTCTCTCTCTCTCTCTCAAATCATCATGCACAAACATTTGATTTCTCCTCTCCACTTTCAACCAAACATAGTGATCAATTCACCAGGGGGACATTTCTGCAGGCTAGGCCGCGGTCACGCCCATCATGGGGGTGGCAGAGCATTCTCTTTGGTCGAAGACTGCTGGAAAAGGGTTTACGATGGCAGATTGGTAATGGTCGGTCGGCCTCGCTGCTCAATTCAAACTGGATTCCCCGGTGCCAGTTGGACCCTCCTAGGTATAATCCTCAGGTGTTACCAGAAGGGGGGGACCCGCGGGTTGAAGAGGTTTTGTGTCCTGGTGAGGGGGCGTGGTGTGACAGTAAATTGCAGCAGTGGTTTGATCCGCCGACCTGTCAAGCCATTAAGGGGATCCCTTTGCCTCGGCGGGATGTAGAGGACCGACTGCTCTGGCATGATACGGTTGATGGAGTTTTCTCTGTCAAGTCGGCGTATCATCTGGCTGTTGACATGGATAGGAGGGAGGGGAGTTGGAAGCAGGTGGTTGGGTGGATGGACAAACCGAGCTGGGTTCGTTTATGGAATGCGGATATTCCCCCGAAATTGAAGGTCTTTATTTGGCAGATCCTTAGCCGGGCATTACCAACGACGGAGGCTCTTTTGGAGAGGAAGGTGGAGGTTAATCCTAGATGTCCGGTCTGCTGGGAGGGTAAGGAGACGCTAGAGCATCTTTTCCTAGAGTGTCCAGTGGCTCGTGCCTTATGGGACTACTCAGGGCTGGACTACCTTGGGGAGGGATTGCCTAGGCACACCTTTCCGTTGTTTCTAAAGAGAGTCCTAGCGCTGGTACATAACCCGGCTTTGTTCATGAAGGTGGTGGTCATTCTTTGGCGGATTTGGCGGTCTCGAAACTGGGTTGTCTTTGAGGGCAAGCAGTTTGGGATCCAGGCCTTGATGCGTCAACTCCACCAGCAGTATGAAGAATGGGTGGGTCTCGTTGCTAGGCCACAGCGGGCGCCGTCGGCTGTGGTGCATGGGCCATCCCTGGCTAGCTCTGTGGAGGAGGACACTAGAATGGTTTGTATGTGGGATGGGGCTACGCGGGGGGGTTCTCACTCTGCGGGGGGGATGGTTCTTATGACTCCGGCTAGGGAGATTCTTGCGGCTAAAGGAGTTCTGTTCCCTTTGATTGATGACCCCTTGGTGGTGGAACTGCTGGTCCTCAGGGAGGCGATTGTGTGGAGTCTGTCGCTGGGCTTGTCGGAGATTAGGATGGAAGGAGATGCTAAAGTGCTCATAGATAAGATCAACAAAGCGGATGTGAGAGATAGCAGGGTGGGGGCGGTGCTGGAAGAAGTAGGATATTATTTTCAGACCCATCCTGGTTTTTCTGTAAAATTTGTAGGTCGGCGTAACAATAGGGTAGCCCATATGGTGGCTCGAAAGGTCCTTTCTTTGTACCCGGCTATGAGTTGGAGTTTTGATTTTCGTGCCTGGCTTGTGTCCAGGATGTAACTATCGTTTGCTTATATGAATATAAGATTATCTTTTGTCAAAAAAAAAAAAAAAAAATTCACCACAAAGAAAAAATGTATGGATAATTCTGTAACTCCAGAATTCCTCATGTTAAAGTTTAACCACCCAATCAATGCCTTTTTTATTTCTTTGAAGAAGAAAAAAAAGTGAAAACAACTTCTTACTTATAAGAGGAAGAAGAGAACACGTTTTGTTTCCACTAAATTACTTAAATGTATGTCCATCAAAAAGTTATTCCAATTTTAGGTAGTAACACACATCACAAGATGAAGTAAAAAAAATTATACTATCAAGATTCTTCCAACAATACTACAAATCAAGTGATTAAGGTGATGGATTCACCTTATTTAATTAGATTTTACGATGAAATTTATTTTTTGTCAATATTTGTTAAACACAGTATTTTATTATTCATAAAAAAAAGATGATAGAGGATACCTATACTAAGAAAGAGAACATGTAATTTGATTTAAAATGATTGAAATTATTATAGATCCATTGTCAAGCCAGATTAATTAATTGCAAGAACTCATACTTATTACATACAAGAGTGTTCATCAAAATACTTTTGATCTGTGTCTACTATTGTTAATTACATACTTGAACTACAAATATTAAAAGATTTTCTTATGTCATATGATCGTGAAATATATATGTTTTCATCACCGAGAGTTTGAGTTACCCTAATTCTTATTTACTTCTTCTCCCCTAATAATTATCATGTATTTTGTAAATAAAACTAAATGAAAATACTAAACTAATAGAGACATAAGCAAGAATTTCTTCTTACCAACCCATGCAAATGAAAGATGTGGGTGGGAAGGGAAGGCCACAATTAAAATATTTCTCAAACAAAATTGCATGGCTCCTTTTTCACCCTTTTCATTCCTTCCTCTCCTGCATTCCCCCCTCCTCCCCCTTTCCTCCACTAGTATAAATAAGAGTGCTCATTCTTACATTGTCCTTAGGGAGAACACACAAGAACCTTTAACTCTAAAGGCTTTTTGAGGCTCTCCTTCCCTTCCTCTTTCCCCCATTTCACTCCCCAAAACTTCAACTTGTTTACAACCAAGTACCAAAAAGCCTCAGAAACTACTACATACCAACTTAGAAAAAAAGAAGAAAAAAGAGTAGCTGAGAGATGGAGAAGCTTAGGTGCAGCAAGTTCCTAGAGACTTCCAAGCCATACTTTGCAATGATCTCATTGCAGTTTGGGTATGCTGGGATGAACATCATTACCAAGGTCTCTCTCAACCATGGCATGAGCCACTATGTCCTTGTGGTCTATCGCCACGCCATTGCCACCGCGGTCATCGCTCCTTTCGCCCTCTTCTTCGAAAGGTTCGTACTACACATACACTAACATTAATACATTCTCATATCCCATAATGAGAAACCAAGAGATGGGACTAATTCCTTGCTCTTCTTTTTTGCATTTTCCTCTCTTTCTTTTTTATTGCAGGAAAGGGCAGCCCAAGATCACCTTCCCCATCTTCATCCAGATTTTCATCCTCGGCCTTCTTGGGTAAATGTCACACAACAAAATAATTGAACTTGTTTGGTAACCAAAAAAACAAAAACAGAGGATAGGGTTTCTAATGAAATTCCTCTGTTTTCATATTTTACAGACCCGTGATAGACCAGAACTTCTACTACGCCGGGCTCAAGTACACATCTCCAACTTTCTCCTGTGCAATGAGCAACATGCTCCCCGCCATGACATTTGTCATGGCCGTCATCTGCCGGTAATTATACATGCCGTTAAAATGGTCGCATCATATCAGCAACAATATGGGTTACTCTGTTCTCAAAATCTCCTCTGTTTTGTTGCTGGTGCAGGATGGAGAAGCTGGAAGTGAAGAAAGTGAGGACACAAGCCAAGCTGGTGGGAACACTTGTCACGGTGGCGGGTGCAATGCTGATGACGTTATACAAAGGTCCAATTGTGGAGATGTTCTGGTCCAAAGCCCTGCAGCCTGTCGGATCCGATCATGGCGCCACTGATCAATCCCATGAAAGCAGTGACAAAGATTGGTTCAAGGGTTCCATTCTCCTTATCCTCGCCACCCTCGCCTGGGCCTTTCTCTTTGTCTTGCAAGTACGTGTACAACTTCTAGTATGTTACTTACTGAGGAAGATGGTGGAATGATCTGAACTGGGTACTGATCAAAATTTGAACTTTTTTGATCTACTGAAAATTTGCAGACCAAAGCATTGAAGACCTACAAGAACCACCAGTTGTCCCTGACTACACTGGTGTGCTTCATGGGGACAGTCCAAGCAATTGCAGTCACCTTTGTGATGGAGCACGATCCATCCGCGTGGAAGATTGGATTCGACATGAACCTCCTCGCTGCTGCCTATGCTGTATGTTCCCTTGTCGAATTTAATCTTTTCGTCGGAGATTCGGTCTATCTGAGAATATTTTTTTTATCTGATGAAATTGTTTGTTTGTACTTGATCAGGGAATTGTGACGTCGAGCATTTCATACTATGTTCAAGGTCTGGTGATCAAGAAGAAAGGGCCCGTTTTCGCTACGGCTTTCAGCCCCTTGATGATGATCATTGTGGCAATCATGGGATCCTTCATCTTGGCTGAGAAGATATTTCTTGGAGGGTAAGTTATTACCCAACTTCGTATAATTTGTAAAGTTCGTTACTTGAATGGTTTGCTGACAGTTTTCTTAATCGATCTTATGCAGAATTGTGGGATCGGCGTTGATAGTGGTAGGACTCTACGCAGTGCTGTGGGGTAAGCAGAAGGAGAAAATGAGCATGGACGACGATGAGATTCTTGACCCGGTGAAGGGATCATCGGCGATTAACTATGGGAATGGGAATTCAGCGGTGGTGGCTGCTGCCATTGAAGATGTTGAAGCAAATAAGGTAATCGGCGATGTGCAGAAGTCAGAAGGGAACCACAACAGCAAGCACATTACGATGATTGCACCAATTAGTATGCCTTTGGCTGATGAAGTCCCACTGGAGAAACTTAACCAAGAGAACGACAGAGCTTAGGAAAGAAAAGAGGAAAAGGACAAAAAACAGAACCAAAAAAAAATCTCAAAAAAGAGAAAAAATGAGGAGAAATATAATAGAGTGGGCCTTTTTTTTTTTCCTTTTTTTTTTCCCCAGTTCCTTCCATATATGATATATCCCAACATTTTGTTGTGAGCTCTTTTCTTTGGTTTCCATTTTGCAACGACATAAAAAATATGGTGCTTTTGGTATGCAACTTTGTTTTCTTCTCCTTCTTTTCCATTGTGCTAAATATATACTACTATGATGTTATGTAAGTGTAACTTTTGGTTAATGAACGAAAATCATGAGAGAATGAACGACTTATCTCACTATGGAATTTTTGTTTCATAAGTGCTAAAGTGTAATAATTAATTAAGTACTGAAAGGAGTGATTACAATTCGAACATAATTTTTGTTTCATAGGGGCTAAAGTATCGTATATAATGCGAGATATCAAAATTGGTGACTAGAAATTAGATTAGGATCTTGTAGGTCGAAATCCAAACACTTTACTATTCAATCACTCTTAGTAACGACCTTATATAGGTCGAAACTAATCACTTCACTGTTGAATCACTCTTCATGTCGCTTCTCTCCATCCCATTATTATTTAGCTACGAAATCTCATTGATGAGTGTAAATTTCACAAAGTTCATTACTACAACTCTAATATTGTTGGTCATGACTTCTTTCCGGTAACTAAATTTAGGCGAGAGAATGAATTAGGGTAGTAATTTTAAGAATCCCACAAACTGGATATGATGCTTCCCATATCAATCAAGTGATCTTACATAAGAAGGTCACTGTAGAGAAGAAGGCTTGATTGATACCAAAGTGATATACAAATTGGAAATCCATTAGCCACCGGGACTCCTGGAGGAACAATAAGACAAAAAATTGTAAATAGAATCTTTTTTTCCAAAAGTTTTTTGCCTTCTTTTTATCATTTATAGCAATTTTATTTTATTTGTGTAAGAATCTTGTGCGAGAATTGATTTTGGGAGTTGGGTTTGCTGATTCTAATATTGCCTGCTGTCTGCTGACACGAGTTACCACCGTCTCTTTTTCTTGCATCTCAAATGGTTCGGAAATTCCTCCAGCAGAAATAAATAAATAATTAGAAAAAGCGTTGGGCAATGGGCATTTCCTTCTTTTATTATTTCATATTAGCAAGCACGCGTTGATTTTATATTTATGAATAAATATATCTTTGTTTGTAGTATGTTTATTTAACCATTTTTGGGTTTTCGGTTTATCGGGATCGATTTATCTATAATTTAGTGGTGGTGTAATTTTTTTGAATATGTGAATCAAAATATTTAAACTCAAGAACGTGATGATGCAGACAGCCAACACCATTATAGTTGACTAGCATTGGGCCCGGCCCGTTGGCCGGGTTCATTCAGAACATATACTTGAATTTTGTTCTATTATATTTGAAGAAGAGAGGGATGATTAAGTAGTATAATTTGTAACTAATGATTTTGCTTAACTAAATGTTTAGCTTATGATATTCAATTTCGTGGAAAAACAAACTCAATTAGCATCAATGTAAGAGCACTGTCACCTGATAAGAACATCGATTTTAGTAGTGTTTGTATACTAAGGCGGCTAACGAAACAATAGTGAGGTGATGATATTGATGCAGTGGTAGCAGAACGGAAAGTTTGTGTGGAGACAAAATGTGTTCAAGTGTTTGATGTAGATTGTCACATCTAGATCCATTGGTTTTGGCAAGGATCTTGAGGCAAGTTGGGTGGATTGAATCAAAAGATGAATTGTTCCCAGATTCCCATATATGCTTTTCAAGTGACCCAATAGTGATAACCGTGAAAGCCTTGAAGAATACGTTTAGGAAATTAGAAGTGTTATAAGGGTTTAGAGACTTGTCTTTTTTATGATTTATCCTAACTCAAACTTAGAAGACTCATAGACAGTGTGCATTTAAGTAATACAGGTTCTTTATTCCAGGTCTCTTGTCTACAGGGAACTTGCTCTTGTGGCTGAGAAAATGCACTCAATTGTCAAGGAATTTGTCTCTTGCAAATTGGATTTGGAAGGGGAGGTTAAAACTCCAGGGGCATTGATTGGTTCAATATGGGTGGACTGATCACGCTGGAATGCATGATCAATCAAAACCTGTATGTATTTTTTCCCTGAAGCACATGATTAAGCAAACTTAAAAATCAATAACCAATCAAAATGATAACCAAAATACAACCGGTATGTATTTTTGCTTTGAAGAACATAATTAAGCAAACAATAAAATAAACAAATAACCAACTCATGGAAGGGCAAGAAAGATAGCAAACACCAATAATAAAATTATCAAAAAATGCAGCAAACATTGAAAGTAGGTTTTGCATTCCTAACAGCAACATATAGATTATCTAGAAGTGCAACAATCCTTGTTATTAGCAATCCTTGTCAGTCATGAACCAAACTTGAGAATCAAAATTAATCATGTAGATGATATTATTATGTAAAAGTCCAATCCTCCAAATTGATATGCAAAGAGATAGCACATCAACAGGACAGAAAGAAGCAAAACACCAATAATCTATCAAAAAATTGCAGCGAATCTTCTTGGGAGATTTTCATCGATAGCAAACAAAGCTACATTCAGACTGACCCATCCAAACGGATAGGCTTGCTTGAACGTCTATGTCTACTACCACAATTCTAAATTGGATTCCCCACCCTAAACTGAAGACAGATTTAGCAGTGCTGAATCAAACTTGAGAAGCAAAATATGTCAATTCAATAATGCAAAAACTATCCATCATATGAAAAAGGAGTGCTGTCAAAGAACACCACTGAATTTCACAACCGAAACTTAACAAAAGAAAATAATCCGTAAGGGAAAAATCTAGAATCAAAGTTCCAATATCAGACTGAATGAAAACAAAATACTAATATCACAAAGATGAAAACAGAACACTAATTAGAAGCTTCAAATTGTGGCTGTTAACTACACAAAGCTTCCACCAATACTATTCCTTCTCGTGGTCAGAGTCATCAACATGTTACCTTTTCAGCCCGGATAAGGTTGTCCCTCCAATATCCTTAGGACTTGGTTTCTCAGTCACTTGCTGCAATCAAAATAGAGATATAATACAGCAATAAACAACGAAATTAATCTGGTACCTTTTAGATAAACTTGGAGGATGAGCAAGGGAAGTGTTCATCACCTCACCTGAAGTGGATCATGATCAACTCTAACCACAAAATACTCAGCTTAATGGTTCAAGAAGTTGATCTGGGTAATTTTAACATGAACTTTCAGTGTCATATTAACAACTTGTTGGATCTGCGATGAAATGGGTTGTTTCTTCCTCTGAAATGATATCCAGCCGTGGAAGTTAGAGAAAGGAAAGACATTTGAGTTCATAGCTATGGCCTTCCTCCCTCATGCTTGCTCAAATACCCGACAACTTACATACAGAAGCATGGTTTGCTTCTTCCAAAAATGGCATTGCAGAAAGTTATTAACTTAGTTTCATTAATTTAGTTGGCTGCAAGTTACTTAGTTTCAATTACAACAACTTAGCATGATCCAAGTTATCATTTCTGACATATATATCACTTACTAAAAGTGAACATGCCAACAGACAACAAAGAACAAATTACACCAAATACAATTCAAGCAAATTCATAGTAAGATGCAAACTAACATTACCATAAGATACAGTCTGACTGAAGCACATGATTCAAACTGATTAAGTTAGCAATTGCATACCTTGCCCACTCGAAAAGAAAAGATAGAGGGGACATCTCACACAGGCTCTACAATGCAAAAATAAAAAATTACCTACCTAAGAGAGCTTACAAAGCATAATGCCCAAAGCACCCGGTGGAGAATCTCTTCAGCACTCGACTGCAATGCGCGAGGTTGAGGGATTTTCTTCTGGGAGGTGTTGGTATAGGGGCGGCGAGAAAGACCAATTACGCCAGTAGACAGACGGAGAGAGAGCGAGAGGAGTGGGGATTTTTTTCCCGGGCGATCAAGGCGGAGGATTTGGTAGAGAGACGGTGACAAAGACAGAGTCCGCCGAGCGACAGACGGCTACAGCGAGAGGAGTGGGTTCGTGGGGATAGAGGCGGAGGGCTTTTCTTCTGGGATGAGTTGGTACAAAGACGTCGGCGAAGACAGATTCCACCGAGAGACAGACGACAAGAGCTCAGGAGTGGGGATTTTTCTCGACGGATTGCAAGACAGAGCCAGTGGCAACACAGTGACGATCGGAGAAGTACAGTGAGGGCAATAATGGGCGACGGGAGGGATTTCAATTTGGGATTCAGTGTGGTTAAAAATGAAGGTCGGAGTGCCGATTTCCGATTCAGATTGGTAAGAGAAGGAAAATCGGAAAGGGAAGCGAAGGAGAAAGATTTCCGCAGTCCAGAAAGCAAGAAAGAGAGGGAGTTTCTAAATTGACCAAAAAAACCCTCCGAACTATGCGGGTATTTCAGCATAGGCTGACGTGGCAAAGGCTCTATTTTCACATTGCCTTATAGTATTTTGTAGATGATTTCGGGAGTATGAAACTGAATTTTACCTATGAAAGATTCAGACACTAGTAAACGTATGCACACACTCCAGAGATAGGAAAAGAATCTTGTTTCTGGTTGTCTTCCTAACAAGGCTTGAATTCATCAAATATGGGTTTGGATTTTTATAACATTATTAAGAATTGAATTTCTTTTTTTTTTTTGGAAAAGGATTTGCCTGGAATGGAATGTTCAAGTTGAATGTTGAATTTAATAAGATGAATTCTTCCTTTCACATGTATGTCTGGTTTCAATGTTTGACATACTCATCTCTCTTATGTCAACAAACAAATTGTGAAGAATTTGAATAAATTATGACACATCCCTAAATTGTATATGGATGAATTCAATAAATGTGATTCCTGTAACCAGCTACCAATGTAGTCAAAAGCGAGTTTCTATGTAGAAACGTTTTGGTGGTCTCAAAGCGTAAAATCGTAAGTTTTTAACCGGAGTTTTTAACTAAATAAGTTAAAAAACTGAGATTTTGTGTAGAAGCATTTTAGTGACCTAGAAACATAAAATTATAAGTTTTTAAGTTTTAAAGCGCAATTTTGATTACATTGCCTGCTACGATATTGAAAAAAATCACATAAATATGTGTTTATAGAATCAAAACTTTTACATATGATTCATTACATATTGGTGAACTAGATAAGATGTTAACTCTTACTAAATTAGTAGTGGATATTATGATTAATTCTGATGCTACTTCTTTTTGGTGGGATGATATTGTGTTGAATGTTTGTTATATTCTTAATCGTATTCCGAAAACAAATAATAAAGAGT